GCCTCAGAATTTTAATCCTCCTAAGAAATGAGATCTATTCGGGAGTTCAATGTGTACAGAATGTTACCGGGAAAAATATATTTATATAGTAGTATGTGTTAAAAGGTAAGCTATGGGGATAATGTAATTTGACCATGTTTTGTATCTATCAACAACATGACTTTTTTGTTTTGTTTGATTTTTAATAAATAGTATAGAGTATCTATAAATATTTGCACAACACGCAATGGTAACGTCGGGACCAACTTCTTTGCAAAAAGAGCTCGAGCACGAGATTATATTTTTTTCTATATAAGTTAGTCATTTATGGTCGGGTTACCATTCGAGGTAATCAACCGGTAGCAATTGATTCAATATATAACGATTGTTGAAAAAAAATATATATCGGTATGTACATGTGAATGAATGAAAGCACATGGCACATGATGTATAACATTCATGAACATGCATAACCTAATCCAACTTATAGTCATAGAACATGAGTAACATGAGGCTACAAGTAGTTAACTTTTATGCATACGATTTCCCCACTTCTTATATACCCCTTATTCAACCGTTGTATCCACTCTTGTGCAACATGTAGAACCCGACGTTAGCCTAATTCGTTGAGCCGAAACCACAATAAGTCTTTTATATTTAAATAAACTTTCAACACCTCAAATATTAAAAAGAAATTTCCGCTGGTGGATGAAAAGGACTCGATGACTTATAGTAAATTAAGTAAAGGATTAAAACATCATTTAAAAAAAAATGGAGGGTCACTTATTCTATTTTACATAAAACTATTGTTTGAAAAATATATAACACAGTTCTTTTTTTTGTTTGAGAAAATATATAACACAATGCAATACATTCATTTAAGAGAAATTTGGCTAATTGGGTCGAAATCAAATAGGAAATGTCTCATTAGTATTTTTTCAACTCAATTTTGTCCNATTAGTATTTATTTTAATGATAATCCGGTTTTAACCTTCATATTTAGTTTTTATAAATATTTTTGGTTTGATTAATTCTATGAGAAATTTGGCTAATTGGGTCGAAATCAAATAGAAAATGTCCCATTAGTATTTTTTCAACTCAATTTTGTCCCATTAGTATTTATTTTAATGATAATCCGGTTTTAACCTTCATATTTAGTTTTTATAATATTTTTTTTGTTTGATTAATGCTGAATTTGACGACTG